GAGAGAGAGAGAGAGGGTGGGCGAATGGGGGGGAAGGGGATGAGGGAAGGAGGTGAAGGCAGGGTTCGGGATAGAAAAGGGGGGTGTTTTGAAACTGAAGACGTAGGTGAACAGGGAAGACAGAGGAGGAAAGAAAGGAGAAGGAAGAAGTTGAGGGGATTTGGGGACATGGGATTCCAAAGAGGATGATGAGACACAGTCAAAGTTACCCAGGAGACCATATCGAATGGAATTTTCTGCAGCCGGGTAAAGGGTGACTGAAGGGAGGCAGAGGCAGGGATGGAGATGGGAGATAGAGGTACTTTAGAGAAGGAGTAGGGGGATAGGTAAACTAAGGAGGAAACCAAGGAGAAGGAAGAAGATGTTTTTGGGCCATAGGTAATGACCTTTACTACCTCGTTTAGTATGACTGCATGTTTCCCGTCGCTGTCTTGAATACGCAGGCCTGGGATTGCCTGTCCTCGTCTTCACGCCTGCACACCCCATGCTCAATTGTTCGACATGATCGTCCGGATGTAAGGCTGCTGATCCACCAACATCGCCTTCCATCGGTCCAGACTGCTGATTACCAATGTGAAACGGCACAGCCGCAGATCCATCAGCATGGGATTCCCTTGGACTGCAGGTTCTGCCAGCAGCTAGTTCCCCTATCCCCTCAGAGCTGACTTCAACAGCATCATTTTGATGATGATGATGATAATGGTGGTGGTGGTGGTGATGAACGGGAGGAACCTCTTGTCGGGCTGAGGGCGACTGTTGAGCGTTACCCAATGATGCATTTTCACCGTCTGGAATAGAATGGACCTTTGCTCTTTTCAGATCGTTTCGGTCACTGTGACAGGATGAAGGTGGCGACCATAGACGACCATCATGATCCAGTTGACAGGGAGATTCTGGAGGGTCAGGTCTGGAAGCGGTTGGCAGCAACCTTGTACGGGACTCCGTTCCTGCCGACTGGGCGTCCATAGGAACAGGCAGGCTGGGTTTGACTTTGACACTGTCATCTGCTGCAGAGGAAGTCAAAGTCAAACTCAGAGCCACAGGGGAGGTCAACCCAATCCCGCTGCGAGCATGGATGGCTGCCTTCGATGCGATCTGATGAGTGAGGCCCTCATGCATCTCTGATCTAAGATCCAACGGTTGGTATTCGTCCTGACTAAGGCTGCCCTCTGAGCTGTCACAGATGAAACCACCAGTAAGTCGGTGGGGAACAGAAGCTGTAGCCAAAGCAACTCCTGCATCAGGGTCTGAACTGGATCCTGCACCAGATCCCGGACCTTCTCCTGGTGAACCAGGTTCTGCACCAGGTCTTGAACAAGGACCAGGTGCCAGACCCCTTGCAGAACCAGGTCGGGGACGGGTTTTCAGACCCCGTGAGGCTCCTAGACCGATTCCTGACTCATTACCACATTCTGCGTCTTCTCCAGACCCAGGTTTTGGACCAGGTCTCGAAAAACCAGGACCAGATCGTAAACCAGGTTTTGAATCAAAATCAACAGCGCCTAAACCATGTCCTGGACCACATTCCGGATCAGGATGATGTCCTCCTGGACCGGGTTTTGAACCAGGCCCTGGACCAGGCTTCGAGAAACCAGTATCAGCTCGTAAATCAGGTTTGGAATCAAGGTCAGCGGTCCCTGAACCATGTCCCGGACCACATGCTGGATCAGAACAACGTCCTCGTGGACCAAGTTTTGGACCAGGTGCTGGACCAGTTCTTAAGGAGCCAGGGTCAGCTCGTAAAGCAGGTTTTGAATCAAGGTCTACAGGCACTGAACCATGTCCTTGCCCGCTTTCCGGATCAGGACAATGCCCTCCTGGACAAGGTTTTGAATCAGGTTCGGGACTGGCCTCCCAGGCTGATCGCCGTTGCTGTACGGAATCAGCAAAAAACAAGGCCGCCTGACGCCTTGTTGGAGGCAAGTCAACTTTGCTACGACACGTTGAGCCAGTCCAACGATCCTCATCAAGCTCACCGTCCGAATCGGGATGATCGAACGGGCTTTCGATCCGGGTATCGCACCGGAAGGAAATCCCGCCATCGCCTAGTTTTTCGGTCATCGTCGTCGGGTCGAATTTCTCGTCTCTCTTTTCCCTCTCGATCGACTGGCTAGCTGGTGTCCCTGCTGTCATAACTAACTCTTGTTCTCTCCCTCCCTCCTGTCCACATCCTGCTGCCTCCTCCTCCCCTCCCTCTCCTTCTCCTCTCCCATCCCTTCCCTCTCCTTCTCCTTCTCCTCTCCCATCCCTTCCCTCTCCTTCTCCTCCCCCCTCCCTTCCCTCTCCTTCTCCCCCCTCCCCTCCATAACGTGCCGGAGTGGCTATTGCTCCATGGCAGTTACTTAGCTTATTACTCAGTACAACGCTGCAAGATGGAGAGATCTGGCCATCCGTCTCTGCAGCAGACTCTGTCTCTTCCAACCTTGTACATCCAGTTAATGAGCCATAAAGCTGTCTGAACTCTTCTTTCAATCTTCCTAGTTCGTCATCAGATTCCGTCGGCGGGTTTCTCGTTGGCCCTTTCAATTTGTCACTCTTCTTCTTCTTATCCTTATCATTGTCCTCGCTCTCCTCATCTTCCATACCCTCAACTAGTACTCCACGCTTTCTCTTTGCTTGTCCGGACATCATTACAACGCCTTGAGCTTTTCCGGCTGCTGCTATCTCCTCTCTTCTTCCTTCTCGCGCTGCTACTTCTCCTTTTACCGATCCCGATCCTACACGTGGCAGAATCTGACAATCGTTGGCGGCTAAGTGGATTTTCTTCTCCGCCTGTACTTCCCCCTCTCCTCGTCTTGCTCTCGTTCTTGATTGACCTCCACGTGGCAGAAGCTCGCAGCTGCTGGTTCCCTTGACGACCTCTTCCCCCGTCTCCATGATCTCTTTCCCTCCTCCCCGCCTTCCCTCCCTTCTTACTGCCCTTCCAAAGGGCCGAGGCTCACAGCTGCTGGCTATGGCACCGACCTTCTCCTTCTCCTTCTCCTTCTCCTTCTCCTTCTCCTCTGCGTCTAACGATTTGGTGACGTTCATTTCGCCACCACCTCCCTCTCCCTTATCGCGTGGCACAAGTTCACAACTGCACGCCACGTCCATCTTCTCCTTCTTCATTGCCGATACTTCCTCTCCTCCTCCTCCTGCTCCTCCTCTTCCTCCTCCTCCTTCTCCTCCTCCTCCTTCTCCTCCTCCTCCTCCTCCTCCTCCTCTCCTCCTCCCCCCTCCTCGTCCTCGTTCCTTACCGCGAAGCAGAACCTCGCAGTTGTTGGCCATGGCGATCTTCTCTTTCTCCATCGCACCCAGCTTCTCCTTCTGGACGGCCGCGATGTCTGCTATAGCCATGACACCCCTCTCTCCTTCTCCTCCTCCACCCGCCCCGCCCCCTCGCCCTCCTCTCCTTCTTCCTCCTCCTCCTCCTCCTCCTCCTCCTTTACCACGTGGTAGAACCTCAAATCTGTCCGGCATGGCGATCTCCTTGTGCGTCTCCGTCGTTTCTCCCTTAATCTCTCTTCCTCCACATTTCACGTTCTCATTAGACAACAAACTGCAGCTGCCGGCCATGTCCACGTTCTCTTTGTCCTCCTCGTCTTTCTCTTTCTGCTGCTCCTTTTTCGTTGCCGTCATCTTCGGCTTTACAAAACCGGACGAACCTGTCTGGTGCTGCAGCGACGAGTGCAGATGGGAAGCGTGCACTCTACTACTCTTCTCCCCACGCTGCCGCCCTCCACCTATACCATGCAGCTGTCCGTTCTGCATGGCTGGCCTTGTTATGATCGGTTTCCTCTCCATCAGATTCTCAAGTGCTTGGAACGTGGACGATCCGTTTATCGTTTTCCTGCCGGCAAGTGTCACCCCAGTCTGATCCTGATCCTCTCTCTCTCCCAAACCTCCATAGCTGCTTTCCTTGCGAGCCAACCTCCCATTCACTCCTTGGCGACCGCTAAACTCTGGCCTGCACTCGATCATGCGGTCAACTACTCGGCTATTGCATTCTCGACGTTCCTTAGCTCTCACCTCGTCATCAGATGCAATTATGTCCCAATCATCTTTACGTGCACACACTTTATCCTTATCTTTATCCTTATCCTTATCCTTATCCTTATCTTTATCCTTATCTATATCTCTTTTTATATCTTTCTCCTTATCCTTATTTTTATCCTTACTTAATGGATGGAAACAACGAGGGTTTGGCGTTGCTCGTCTCTTTACCGCGTTTTGCGTACGGATCTCGCAATGCTCAAGATCGTCCACTTGGCAAAGGTCGACTGGAGGCACGTGCTGCCGTCCAGTGCCGTTGTCGCCATAGCCGTGAAGCTTGTGAAGCTCTTCGCCTGCATCCTTACAGTCATCACCTTGCTGGCGTCGGGATCGCATATCAAGATAACGATCGGCCTCGTCAGCAGCAGGTGTTGAGCGCAGACGTTGAAGTACCTGCGATTGACATGGCAAACCCTTCTGACCGACGTTTGTCCCGTCTATTGCCCTCGTTCTCCTCGAATCTTTTTGCTCCAACACCCTCTCCACCTCCCTCTCCTCCCACCTATCCTCCTCCCTCTCATCCTCTTCGCAACGACTCCCGCAAGATCTAGCGTTATCGGATGCAGCAGAAGCTTCCTCCTCCTCCTCCTCCTCCTCCATACGAACATCATCAGGCTGCTCTCGTTTCCTCCTCCTCCTCCTCCCATCCTCCACTGCCTCGTCGTCTTCCTGGTCTTCTTCCTTCTCCTTCAGGGCAACGTGTACGTCATTCAGTAACCCTCGACTGCCACGGCCTTTCGCTCTGCCTCGACCTTGTCTTCTGCACTCATCATCATCATCATCATCATCATCATCATCATCATCATCATCATAAGCATTCGCACCACAAAGACGAGCATCAAGATCGTAATCCTGACCATTCGTGTTCTGTACTCGAGTAAGGTTGCCGTGATCAGAATGACATTTTTGTCCGCGATTATTACCGCTGACTAACGCCGTTCGATCCTTCGCCGACAGCTCACGATTACTTCCACCAAGCGTAGCGAACGAGTTCACATCGTTAGCCTTTTTGAAAGTCCTCAACTTTATCTTTTCCTTATCCTCTTCCCCCTCTTCTCTCTTACCTTCCTTGCCCCACTTCTCTTCCTCCTCCCCCTCCTCCTCCCCCTCGTCGTCCTCTTCCGCTTGCACCGCCTCGTATGAGTCCACAGTCTTCACATCTTTCGTCAATCGTCGATTATTACAACCATTCGACCTATATGTAGATCTCCGACATTCATCTTCACCCATATCATTATCCACATCATTATCCTTATCCATATCCTTATCCATATCCTTATCCATATCCTTGTCCATACCCTTATCATCCAAATTACTATCAACACAATCATCATTATCGTGATCGGAATAAGGACCAGCCCGAGGATCGCTACCACTACGACTTCTCTTGTCCGGGCCCCGAGCTCGACGACCACCCACGTGCGCATGGCATCCCCATCCATCGTCATTGATTGGTCGGGATCTATGCTTCTGGTCCTTCTTAAACGACGATTGGTGATCCTTATCACAATAATACGAAGACGAACAACTGTCTTCCATCATGGCTTTATCATCATCATCATCATCATCATCATCATCATCATCATCATCAACAGCAGCAGCAGCAGCAGCAGCACGATCCTTGTCAGAATTGTCAGCAAACAAAGAACTGCCTACCATCGGCTTTTCATCTTTAGCGATTGGATGGAGGGCACACCTCTCGGGGGAAACGGTAGCTTCGCTCTTGCGAAGCTTCGCGGAAACATCGGCGAACGTTCGGTAGACCAAAGGAGTTTGGGGCTTATGTGCTGACCCGGAGAGAAAAACGGGGCTCTCGTGATGACCATCTTTATCTTCATCTGTATCCTTATCCTTATCCTTATTGCTATGCTTACCATCCTTGTCCTTATGCTTATCCTCATCAGGATCGTGATCTCTGCAGATTGGAGTATTTTTGACAAACCTCTTCGAAACGACAGCAGCTTGGCTCTTCGGTACGTTCACCGAAGATTCGTCAACCAGCAAATGACCTCGATGCTTACGTGCTGACCTGGACGGAAAACCGGGACTCGTCTCATGGTCTAACTCCTCCCCATCTTTATCCTCATCCTTATCGTTTTCCTTATCCTTTTGCTTATCCTGATGATGATGACGACGAATAGGAAGAGGAGGAGGAGGAGGAGGAGGAGGAGGAGGAGGATCGAGACAACTCCTTCTCGATGATCTGTTAATCCCATACACTCTCCTCGAATCCCCATTTTTATCCTCATCGTTATCCTTTTCCTTATTCCTCTCCTTATCCTGATGATGATGAGGACGAAGAGGAGGAGGAGGAGGAGGAGGAGGAGGAGGAGGAAGATCGAGACAACTACCACTCGATGATCTGCCATTCCCATGTACTTCTCTCGGATTGGCATCAGATTGGCTTCTCAGGATGCTGCCAGGCTTGCCCAGACGTGATGAAGGTTGACTATACATACCTCTCGACGTTAGTAACTGGGTGGGACTGACGTCATCCTCACACATATCCTCCTCCTCCTCCTCCTCCTCCTCCTCCTCCTCCTCCTCCGCCTCCGCCTGACCATCATCATCATCATCATCATGACAAAGGGGTTCTGGATAACAAAGGGTAGCAGGTGATCGGTTGTTCCCATGCAGCCTTTTCAACGCAACAGCAGTGGCTTTGCTCTTCTGAGTACCCTCGGAAATCAGAACCTGTGATGCAATCTGATCAGGCTGATCAGTTGCTGACCTCGACAAATAACGTGCGGTGGCATCACCGTCTCTCTTATCCTTATCCTTATCCATATCCATAGGATGATTTTCAAAATACACAGGACTTCCGTCGTTCCTGTGTATCCGTCTCGACACCGCTGAAGCGTCGCTCTTGAGAAACTTCTCGGCTACATCGATGAGTGAGGACAGACGATGATGCATGCATCTTGAGGTCGGGATAGATCCAGTGGGGCTGACGTCAAACTCCTCTTCCTGATAAGACAGGTCATGAGAGGGGCAAGTTTTCGCCGTTGATCTGTGAGGATTTTCATCAGTCCTCTCGTTCCGCAGATTCCTTTCCGGGATGTCGCCGAGTGATGATGGGACATGATGCACATCTCTTGACGGGGTTAACCAACTAGCAGGGCTTGGGTTCACCGGATCCTTAGTCATATCCGCATTGATTTTTTTATCGTGATTCAACGACGAGGTACTAGGGTAATGTCGACCGATCCTCCGTTCCGGCATGTCGGCCAGTGATGATGACGGAACGTGATGATCAACCTCTGTCGGCCGGGATACTGCAGCTGAACTAGAAGGTCGTGGATTCACGTGATCCTTTGTCTTATCCTTATTGTTATCCTGTTGCATCGGCGACTTAGGATAAATTCGACGACTATTCGCCGGTCTGTTGTCCGGTCCTTCCTTTATTGGACCAGCTAACTCTTTGGCTCTATCCTCCACCAGCGATGACATATGAGGAGGCGTAGCCGCTGCGGCAGTCGTCAATATACACATAGAGCTGACGTCAAAGTGCTCCAGGACCTTATCCTGATGAGAAGGATAAGCAAAGTTACGATCTTTGGTTGATCTGCCGTCCTTGGGCATCCTTGACACAGTAGCCATAATTTCGCTCTGCAGTAGCTTCTTTGGCAGGTCGGCACTCGAGGGAGTTTTATCCATTGTCATCCTTCTTGACATCTGTGGACAGGTGGAGTTGATGTCAACAGGATGATCTTGACACTTGTCAGTATCACTATGCTTGCTCTCATGAGCGGGGTTGTCCCGGTAGCAAGGACTCCTTGCTGATGTTGATCTGTTGTTGTGTTCATGAATCCCCCTAAAGTTGCCAGCTTTAGCTTCGGTGGGCCAAGTCTTATGGACAGGATTTTGGTAATTGGCAGTATCACTATCCTTGCTCTCATGAGCATCAGTGGGGTAGCAATGACTCCTGGGCGTTGATTTGATGTCGTCCTTATGTATTCTCCTAAAGTCAGCAGTTTTAGGTTTGCCAGGCTGAGTCTTACCAACACGATTTTGACACTTGTCAGTATCACTATCCTCACTCTCATGAGCATCAGTGGGGTTGTCATGGTAGCAATGACTCCTCGCTGTTGTTGATCTGTTGTTGTCCTCATGTACTCTCCTAAAGTCCGCAGCTTTAGTCTTATCATCTTCAAGTTGATTTTGACATTTGTCAGTATCACTATCCTTGCTCTCATGTGTAGGGTTGTCATGGTAGCAATGACTCCTCCTCGCCATTGGTCTGTTGTTGTTCTCATGAATCCTCCTAAAGTTAGCAGCTTTAGTTTCACCGGATTGAGTCTTATCAGCCACGAGAGCTGCTGAGGCAACCTGCTGGCATTGCCCACTTGTTGACGTCCATGGACAAACGAAAGTATTGACATCAACGGGATTCTTACTATCCTTTGCCTTGGCATTATCCTTATCCTTGTCCTTACCTGGCAGGTCCAGATAAAGATCACAACTTTGAGCACAAGATCTATTTTTAGCATGGTGAATCCTTGCCGAAGTAGTTCCCACGACCTCACTCTGCTGCCCATCGAGCTGTTCATCGAGCTTGTCCATACGAGATGCAATCCGCAGGTTGTTACTTGTAGCAGACGCCGAATAGTCGGAGCTCGACTCACCGTCCCTATCCTTATTGGTATCCTTATCCATATCCTTATTATACTTTTTGTTTCTCTCACTTGGATCAGGCAAAGGACTTGTCCCCCAGCTGTCGTCCATCCATAATTGCTCACAAATATCCATTAATCTAGACATTCGACCGGTCCGCCTCAAACTACCTCTCCTCCCACCGGGTAAGGTTCCATTACCTACTGCCACATCCGCCAACACCACTTCCAACTCTCTCTCCACGGCTCCCACGGAGGACCGTCTCCCTTTCCCCTTCTTATCCGCCTCATTGCTCCCCTGCTGTTCTGCGTCATTACGAGCCCCCCGAACACCCATCTGAGCACCTTGACTACCTGCCTTGGTACTGCAAGGACTTTCAGCAGCAGCCTGCGTACCTACCCGAATATCATGACTACATTCAGCATCTGCCTGAGTACCCTGAGGACCGCCGGGAGTCCCCATCTGAGTACTCTGAGCACGTGGAGTACCTGACTTAGTACTGCGACAACTTTGAGCACCTGCCTGCGTACCTAGCCGAACACCTTGACTACGTTCCGCCCCCGCTTGAGTACCCTGAGGACCCCCCTGAGTACCCATCTGAGTACTCTGAGCACGTGGAGTACCTGTCTTACTACTGCGAGAACTTTGAGCACCCCCCTGCGTACCGACACGTGTACCATGACTTTGAGCACCCACCTGCGTGCCTACACCATTACCCTGACTACGTTCATGATCCGCCTGAGTACCCTGAGGACCCCCCTGAGTACCCATCTGAGTACTCTGAGCAGGTAGAGTACCGGCCTTGCTACTGCGAGAACTTTGAGCACCTGCCTGCGTACCTACACGACTATGCTGACTATGTTCAGCATCCGCCTGAGTACTCTGAGCACTGCCCTGCCTATCCAGCTGAGTATCGTGAGTACGTTGACCTCCAGCCTGATTACGCGCCTGAGTACTCTGAGAATTCCTCTGAGAATTCCTCTTAGAATTCCGAGTACACGCCTGGGTACCTACCCGAGTACCGCGACTATGTTGATTACCACCCCCCTGAGTGCCCTCCCAGCCATAACTTTCTCTCTTCGTCCTATCTGTGAGAGCGCTCTTCCTCCCATCCTCCCCTTGCTCATCATCATTGTCAATGTCGCTGCAAACACAATTACCCTGGTATGTCGTCCTCGTATTCATCATCCATCCCCCCTCCCTCGTCAGCTTCTTCCTCCCATCTCCCTCCTTCTCCTCCTCCGCCTCCTCGTCCGGCTCCCCCTCCTCCTCGTCATCATCGCCATCTTTCTTCCTATCACAATACGCGGCATTAGTACGGCACGTCTTCCGTGGGTTAAGCCCCCAACCCCCCGTCTCCCTTCTCTCCCTCCTCTCTCTCCTCCTCTCTCTTCTCCTCGCTCTCGTACTAGCAATGCCCCCGCCATCACCATGCTCATTGTGTCCCTCGTAAGACTCACGATGATGATCTTCCTGGCTGCTTCCTGTACTCGTCGTGAGAGTCGATCCCTCGTCAGTCGCCCTGACGTGGTTTCGACGGTGCCGAATGCGCTGCTGCCGTGATGTCTGATTGGTCATCTCTTCTGCGGCCTTGTGACTTAATTGCTCATGCTTATGATTTTGATGATCAGAATTCGGATCGGACCATTCATCATCGGCAATTCGTTTCAGCCGTTGATGTCGCCATCTGGGGTGAACATTCCCAACGGCTAACAGTGTCCCCGCATCCCCATCACAATTCTCCTCCTCCTCCTCTTTGAAATAATACCCATTTTTGAGGGGCTCTCGCACCGATCTCTCGCTTCGCGACGATCTTGGGCCGTTGATCTTCTCCTCCGGGCCACCTCCACCACGACAAGCAGTTGGCTTTCTCGTTGACGTCAGCGGCTCGCAAGCAAGTACAATGCTGCGCGTCGTCGTTGTTGACGTCAACGGCGATGGAGCTCGTCGAGCTGGTCTCTGCTCGCGTCCCTTCTTCTTTCTCTCCGCCATTGTTGACGTCAACGGCGATGGTGCTCCCTCACTACTTGGGGATTGCCAAGAACGGTAGTCGTCGACGGGAGGATCCAAAACTTTTTTGATTTGGAAAGTTCTTTCCTTGTCATTATTAGTAGCTTGTCTCTGATCGTGATCGCGCGCCGCCGGATCTTCAGAATCATGACGTGGCAAAACCCCGTGAGAGCTCCTTTTGTCCATTCTGCCGGGGGGCGAGACGCCATAGCCAGTTCTACCATGGCCTAGATACCCGCTACTACGAGGTAACTGACCTTCGTCGAGCTCACCGCCATAGCCATTTCTTGTCGTTGCTCCTCTTCGTCCTCCGACAGGACCCTCGGAGTGAGAGCAGGAAGAAGAACACTCCGGACTATGGACAGTGACCATCCCACACTCCCCTCCCCTCGCTCTATGATGCGCTTCCCCTCCGGCTTGTCTGAAGTCTCTTCCGTATATCGACGTCCGTGACGAGGGGCGTCGCAATTCGATCATTCCCGCTGACTCAACCTTTGCTTGCTAAGGCTGTCATCTCCAGGCGCTGCCGTCTTCCCCCGAATAGAGTGCATGGTCATTATAGCTGTATTTGGGGCAACTTCCTGGGGCAGCGATAAATGACCTGGCGTTCTATTCCAGTGACATGATATCAGAAGCTCACGTGCACGGTGATCCGCTGACCGTGGAACCAGAAGAGGGGTACATATCCGAATCGGAGATTCAGCACAGTCACGTGCTCACACAGAGGAGGAGAACGCCAGCAAGATACAGATGGGAGGGGGAGTAGAGGAGGACCTTAGAGGCGCGAGGGCGTACGTGACGACAAAGAGAGAGCGGGAGAGCTGGCAGCAGCGGGAAAGCCGCAATAACGCACACACACACAGAGACACAGAGAGAGAGAGAGAGAGAGAGAGAGAGAGAGAGAGAGAGAGAGAGAGAGAGAGAGAGAGAGAGAGAGAGAGAGGAAGGGTGGGGGGCGGAGCGAGGGCAGAGGGGCGGGGTGCAAAAACAAGAAAACTGATGAACAGACAATATACACAAGCATGCAGATACAAACAGTACTCAGATCCAGGAGGAGGAGATGTTCGCGGTCAGAGACTGGTACCTGAGCAGCGTCGATGCGAGCAATAACATTAGAGGGAGGTATCCCCAACTTTCCGATGGGCGTTTATGAGTGCTCCATTCGATTTGAGATCCTGTACGACGGACTAAGGGAGGGAAGGACAAAGGGTCTCCCTCCACTACTTAGCATGCGACAGGTACCTGGACTGCCTGGTAGACCAGATGCATTCCCACTGGTCGAAGGACGCCTGGTAGACCAGATGCATTGCGGCTGATCGAAGATTTGGAATGTACTGGGACCATTACCAGCTCCAGATACATTTCGTTTTTTTGGATGGACCACGCATCAGATACTAAATTGATCAGAACAGATACTGTACTTGGGTCTCGTTCCACACCACTCGAAACTCTGAAGGATGTCTTGCTCAACACCGTGCCCTTGAGTTTCGCCGCTAATCATGGCCAGGCCGTGATCAGGTTTTTGGGGTTTAGCAAAAGGGCCGGAAAAGCTCAAGGGAGGCTCAAGTGTGGCCCAGGCAAACCTACCTGTTTTTCAAGTCACCTCTCTGGCACACTTGAGCTGCACTTGAAAATAGAGAGGAGCTGTTGCAGCACCATTCCCTCTCATTTTGAGGA